GTGCCAACTGTCTGTAAATGGGGTTTGAGTTGATTTTCAGGATCGAAGCTTTTAGTTTCCGATTTTCTCTTGCTTTTTGTTAAAAACTAACTTGGATATTAGGGCATTGTGATTGAGTGTGAGAAGATCAAGATGGATGGTTCAGAGTTGGGAGGTGGGTTTTTGTCTGGTCCTAGTGGGGGGATACTAACTAGACCTTGAATCGCCGGTTCCTAGATATAGCAGAAACCCAGAAAACCTTCAACCGAAACGCAAAACAATGAAACAAAACGAGCAGAACAAAAATTTGATATACCTGGGTAAATCTGGGTAAATCTGCAGCGCGACAGAAGTGGCTCCCTGCTGCTGCCTGCTGGCTGGGTGCAGTCGGCGGCTACGGGAGAGGAGGATGAGTAGTAGAGGATGAGGAGGAAGGCTACGGGTAAAGAAAGGCAGCGGCAGAGAAGATGGGGATTAGGGTTTGTTTTATGATTGGAGTAGGATCCTTTTTCCCTTTTTTTTCTTCATCCTATCCATTCCCTCTATCCTATTTGAACGGTCACGATTAAACTATATTAACATTTTATATTAATTTTATATAAAAAAAAGATAAAATAAAAAATGTAAGATAAATGAATAAAAGGGAATGAAAAGAAGATGAAAGAGAATCCTAGTTCTTTATAATTTGGATGGTGTAAATACTAAAAAAGATAAAAGATATTTTTGTCTTAAAATTTTATAATTTTGTGTCCCACAAAGATAGAACGAGTCGTTACAAGGGATGAGATGAAACAAAAATTCAACCAAATTTCATTCAGTGAGATAACGCGTTCCATTACCTTTGGCGCACCAAATGTTGGACATGCGCATTCCGTCCCACTACGTTCCGTTCCATCCCAGTACCAAACAAGTGAAAATGTGAAAACAAAAGAACTATTTCTACCAGTCTTAAGCTAAAGAAGGTACAAACAAAATCACCAAACCATCCTAAAAATCACACTCCCCGGTCTTATTGATCGTTTGCACTGAAACCGAAACTCCAACGTCCGTCGGTCTTATTCATCGTTTGCAATATTCACGCAATCCAAATTCGACAACTTAGAAATTGTTTAGCAGATGGGTAGTCGTTACAACCAGGGGACTCATGGCACCGTTTTTGCTCACTCCCCCTAACCCTTTTCTTCTTTCTTCTCTTCTCTAATCAATCAATGAGTCGCGATCACGGCCTGGGTTGAGTTAACCAACATTTCCCTTATCCTTCCTTGGCTGCAATGTACAGAACGGTTAGAGCTGAAAAAGCAACAAGAAAACTACAAAAGCAATTTCATTCGTTTGTTGAGAGCACCTTGCTGTATAACGGCTTATTTCACATCCTCTAGGCTGCCCCGGGGCTTCTTCATCGCCCTCTTTACTTCCCTAGCTGTAATATTGTCCACAATTAAAGGTGAATATTGGTAACAAAAGTGGGATGAACAAAGAAGATATACATTACAAGAGTAAAACAATTGCTGCAACACGTCCAACTGGAAAACAATCCTAGACACAATTTCCCACAGTAAGTCACTTGACCAGATGATTATTCAGTTTGTGTGGAACTAAGCTATCATCTGGCCTAAAGAGTCGGATGTTCCTAACCACTAGTACCCCCAGGATATGCATGGGGACGCTAGTGGTTCCGAACTACCCCTTTTGTGGGGCATGCCTAGGTTTGAGCTCCTGTAAGGCCATAACTCTTACCTATCACCCCTTTTACTCCCCATAAAACAGAAGAAGAAAAGAAAAGGGAGAGGGTAATCTAACTTTTGCTGTCAAGCTTACCTTTAAATTTCCTTTTCTTGTTAGCTCTCCTCCGCTTTCTCTCTGCCTGTGTAAGCTCTGCTTCTTCTTTGATGTCACCTTTGCCGGAAAACACTTCCTCAGGAGCTAGCATTGCTGCATCGGACACGGCCACAGGTGCAATCTGCCCAGTGAAGAGACATCACACACTTCAGTTATGATTGTCAACTTTAGAGTAGAAAAAGTAGTATTTTCAAAGGATTCATGAGAACTTTTTTTTTTATAAAGAAACTGTAGAGTTCACATTACCTCTTCCATTGCTAGAGCAGGGACATTGGCTTGTACCGACATATCCTCGATAACCTATGCCACATAACGTATATCAAACCTGGCAATTAACAAACTACAAAAGTATACAATGCATGCATATAAATATATAAATTGTATGACTCAGAAGCATACAGGTTTTGGACTGAAGTGGAAATGAGAGAGAGCATCCAACTTCAAGCAAAGTTTCTTGAACAGCTTGCTTGCCTGATAAAAGATAATGACCACAAGGTTAGTGAATTAGCACCTTTAGGAACATAGAACAAAATCTCAAAATATACTCACACAAACACATACATATATTAGTATACACACGTGTGCATACAAGGAAATTAATTTTCGACTATTAACACAAATGAAACAGCAAAAGATAGAAGAACAAAGATAAAAGCATGCACCTCGTCCTTCTGTTTGTCTGTTAATGAAAACGGAGCAGAAGCCAAATTTGTCTTTTGAACATACTCTTCCTGCAGAAAATTGACAAACAAAAGATTGTAATGTATCTCAATTAGATGATAAGATGGACGGAAATCCAGCTTAAGGAGATCAAATTTTGGAAGAATGTTGGCAGCTTATTAAGTGATGCATTTTGCATCAGGAGAACCATACCTCATAGACATCAGCTAGACCCTTCTTGCTCTTGTTCTCGTCCTATACATTAAACAAAAGGGGAGTTTTTAACGAAAAGCCAGCAATACTAGATCAGACAAATTGACCAAGTTGCTTCATTTAAGAAACAATGGGTCGAAATTAGAATGCAAAATATAGCAAAAAATAATGCTTACCAACTCTTTAAGTTCTCTTGGTGCTTTAGAGGGTAAAGTAGGAGCTTTTTGAACATCATCAAACCGCCCCTATAAAAGACATTAAGTGCAAATTAAAATTTAGAACAGGTTGTATTCTACACACACACACACATATTTAGAAGAAACAAGCAACAATATAAATCAAATGGTGACAGAAGGAATAAAAATTGCCTGCGAATAAAACATGAGAATTAAATTTCTTTTCTGACTTATAGGGATCAATATAAACTGTCGAAAAAGTTTCCAATAGAGGTAATCGATCAAAATGCGGTTCATAAAATATAGCTAACTTTGAACTGAACATTTTAGATAAGAAAATATGATAAACAAACAAATCCTCGGAATGTATTCACGCAAGATGTTGTTTACCTCCTCAATCCTTTTCTTGATTATATCCTCAATTGATGCTGTAACCTCCTCTGTGATTACAGGGGGAGGTCTAACATTGTGCTCAAAATCCAGATCAACTTCTAGCGCACTGTTCTTTGGCCTTGTCGCTGCAGTTACCTGTTTCCCAAAGCCACAATTGTTATATGTAATCCACTTAAAGTTACATGGTATCATGACATAACTAACAAGACTATTGTCCAGCAAAAGAAGAACTTCAGAAACAGAAAAGTTACCTCTCCCTGCATGATCCAGCTTTTTGGCTCCAAAATTTTGCTTTTTCCATCTCTTCTATTTGGGATTGAAGCTTCTTAAGCTTTTTTTCATGGGTCGAAAGAGTTGTTTGCTTCTATATTAAAAATATGAAAACAAATGAGATGAAACTCCTTTTGAAAATATGGAGAATCTACAACTGCAAGACCATGCTCTCAAATTCCGTTACACACTACATGGTTTGGCAAGTACCTTCTCATCTTCTTGTTCATCTTCATCTCCTTCTTCTTGATCATCTTCATCTTGATCATCTTCCTCCTCGTCTTGTTCATCTTCTTCTCCGTCGTTTGTCCCCAAATCTTCTGATTCATCAATCAATTTTGATCTTCGTGTAGAACGCTTTTCCTTTTTTCCTCCATAGAAGTCTTCATATCTGTCGCACACAAGCAAAAGTTAAGCTTAAGCATATACTAATGGATACATGCACTCCCACAATACATATCCACAGATGAATCACATATAATGGATGCACAGACAACTGATTAAAAAGAAATATACACCATATACGGTATACCGGAGAAACAAATGCAGATGAACCCTAAA